GAAGTCTTGTAACACAAAAGTTATTTTTAAAAATAACTTACACACAACTATCAGCATTGCCTAAATGTTCACTAATATTGCTGCCATATACTACTTACTAGCTGTATAGTATGCATGTAGTTTAATTAATCTATATATTACCAAATACAAAATGGCATAAGGATAATATTTGCTAATGGGTGATTCCAGAAAATATTCCATACCCTTTCAAAAGCAGCATCTTCATCTAAATTGCCCCTTGGCTTGCATTTGGAAATTCCAAAATGCTAACCCCCCTCCCCCTCCCCCTGCCTTCAGATCACAACTGTTTTGCCTCAACAACAACAAGCTTTAATTCCCCTTGAACTAACAGAAATAGTTTTACAAGGTTATGTATTAACAGAGTTAGGGGCCTGGCTACCTGAAATAAATAGAGAGTTAAAAAGGGCAGGCAGCCAGGTCTACAGGTTCTACCACCCATGCCTTCCAATCATTGAGAAACCACCTCAGGAATTCCTGTTTTTTATTTCCAACTTATCTCAAAAGCCCTCTCTAACTTCCAAACATCTCCAACAAAAATTCATCCTTTTACTCTGTCCAAAAAAATGTATGTTGATAATTTTCAGCCCAGCCAACGAGTAATGCAGCAATGACCTGAAGTGATCAGGCAAGTTGCTTGACTTCCTCAAAAAGAAAAACAAAATATAGTTCACAATCAAAGTTCAGGCTGGATCTGTGAACCTGTATTCTCCTGCTGGAAGTCTAACCATGAAAACCCTATCCCCATGCCGTGAAAATTCCAGTTCATCAAACCCTCCCCAACCCATGCCCCTGGAATCCAGTCTATCTATAGAAACCGTTCTCCCTTTCAGAATTCTGAAATGTCAACTGTGGTTATAATTAGGGGTATAGATATTTTCTGGAACTGTCCACCAAAGACATTTACCTTGTTTTATTGCTCAAAATAGGGAACTTGACACAAAGTGCCCTGTGGACATCCTCTTTTGTCATCTCTGAGGTAAAGGATATCTTGGCAAACTGCCCTTTTCCTTGCTTTTTGAGTTGTGCCATTTCAATGGTGTTTGGCATGCGCACTTCACCATTCTCTCCAACCCTGACATCACTATCAAACAGAACCATGACACTCTTGGCAGGTGTTGGTGCATTAGGGTCTCCCCTATGCCTTTTTGCATTTGGCTCTTCGCCAATGGATGTATCATTCTCTCCACCCTTAACCTGTTCCATTACCTGCTAAGGGTGGCATGACAGCATTCCTAGAAAAAATACCATCATAATATTATTAATTTCCAT